AACTCCATGGGCAAACGTGAGTGCACCAACAACCGCCGAATGCCTGTGTCAATCAGCAGCATGCGTACGCGAACGGCCCTACGGTAATTTGTCTTGGAAGCACCGACCAACACCCAAAGGTGTTTGTCGATCCCACCCCTCAAAGCAGAGCAGGACCGACAATTAAACCATTGAACAAGCTGTCAAACCATTGAACAAGCTGTCTTACGCGAGGGATTACGCTGTGCACACCCTTGGCTCCCAATCACTGTGCAGCTCCCTGGAGGGGCCTGCCAGCATGGAACACCTGAAAGCTGCCAACCCAGCGAGCGCCAACGACACACGGCCTCGTCTTCAAAGCCGTGAACCACAACAGATAAGCCAACAGCGGGCGCACCTGCCACGTAAGACATGCGGCCGCCAGCGACGCCGATCACACAATTGTTGGAATCTCGGAACGAGCCCAGAACTTGTAAGAAGCACGGTGTGCAATCAGAAACGTGGGCTGCAGAAGATCCTAGACCTCTTCCAGAGAGCATTGTGAGCAGCGCCTCAAGCCGAAACCCTTGGTGGCGACAAGGCTCTCCTCCACGAGGACAAGCCACGCCGATAAACATCGAAACCTTTCTGCGAGGTCGGAAGAACCGTCTCATCGCCATGGGTTCTCAATTCCGTGGAAGCTCTGTGTGGGCCTCTGCGTCTCAGGCCTCCTGCAGGGTCGAAGGCACGATTCGGAAACACCAGAGGCCCCCGGGGCTTCTCAAGGGCAGCTAGAGGTTTGCGGCCCACGAAATTCCGCGCAATCCCCCTGCCCCTGCACAATTCCACTAGAAACTCTTCTGGGCCACGTGTTTGCCGCGACGGCGACGACCACCACTGCCACGACGACCACGACGATGACGACCACGACGACGAAGACGACGACAACCACGACGACGACGACGACGACGACCACCACCACCACGAAGATGACGACGATGACGACGACGAAGTCCCCTGTGATCCCCCCTCGCCACCATGAGTTGCGGTCCCACGCAGCCCCCCTGCGCCACCACCCCCTGACGGAGGCCCCATGGAGGCCCCCTGGAAGCCCGTCGTCGTCGTTGCTGGCCGTCGCCGTCGCCGCCCGCCTGCCTCATCGGATCCCACCCGCCCGCTTGCCTGAGGGCCCTCCCGTCCCGCCGAGCCTCTCGAGGCGTCCTGGTGGCGCAACCCCTCGAAACGCCACTGGGGGCCAGCAGGAAGCCCGTGAGACCGCGGAGGCTCTCCGAGAGATGCCGGAGACCACACGCAAGACCCTGGAGGCCCAGGCAGCTCCTAGAAGGCCTCGGAGGGCCTCGCCGGGGCCACAGGTGTTTGCGGATACTTGGGTACTCGACAGGATCGGGGGCCTGCGCGACCCATTCTCCGGAATTTCGAGAGGGTCGAGAAGATCTGTTCCAAACTGACGCCCTCTGAGAAGCCTGCAGGCCCATAGAACATCCGTGAAGGCCCTTGAAACCCTGGATGCCGAAAAACATTCCTGGAGACTTCTGTCGCTCGCCATGCCCTGAAAGGGTTGAGGGGTTTGCGTCACTCTTCCTTTTGGAGGTCTCATCGAAGCTCTCGAGGTCCCTCTCTCCGTCGTTTCGAATCCAATAACATCCCATCCCGCTGCCCCCAACCCATTCCTGGAGTGCCCTCGCTGAATTCCCTGGAGATCTCGAAGGTAGCCTCCAGAGGCGCCAGGGAAGCTTCTGGAAACCAAGGCAGGCCACTGCAAACTCCAACCCAGGCCCTGGGAGTCTTTGGGCAGACTGAGCACCACACTCTCGGAGGTCCCTGAAGGACCCAGATATTCGATGGCAACTCATGGGAGCCTCCCATACCATCTACCATCTTGTCCGCTCTTGCGAATCGACGCTAGTCGACGCTAAATCGACGCCAATCGACGCTAAATCGACGCTTGCCGACGCTAAATCGGCGCTACCTCATCGACTCCCAGACGCTAATCGACGCGAATCGACGCTAAAGACGGAATTAAGAGGGTATACCAGGCTCCCATGATTTGCTACCGAACAGAAGGCTCCCGAAGGCCACCTGCGTGTGCCATCCCAGTCGATGGGCGGTGTCACGCCGCGAGGCGTGCGACAGGCAGCGACTAGGCGGAACAGCCACGCGGGCAGCGGCTCGGACAAGTGTCAGCCTGGCGAAGGGCCCAACCGTGGGATGCTGCGCGTAGAAGGGCGTGCCGAAATGTACTGGCAGCAGCACGCGAACTGTGTCTCTGGGGCCGTAGGTGGAGCTCATTGCGGTAGACGAACCGTGTAAAGGTGCCGAAATGGGCCAGAGAAGAACAATGAGGAGGAGGAGGAGGAGGAGGAGGAGGAGGAGGAGGAGGAGGAGGGAAGGGGAGAGGAGGGGAGAGAGGAGGTGAGAGGACGGGGCGGTGCGCAGTGAGACTCGGGGCGCTGCGGAAGGAAACCGAGGAATCAACAACACAGGAGGGTTGGGGAACAAGTAGAAGGAGCGGCTTGCGCTC